CGAAGAAATGCATTTTAAAAGTGTGTGTTTTTAAATAGTATTATCAACTGTTTATAATGAGTACATGATCAGTCAGTCACCCCTCACCCTCGACCGCAATTCAGTCACCGAGTTGGTTGGCTTTAATGTTAGGTGGAATAAATTAAATATTTTACCCTCTGTCCAGTAAATTGATACCACTAATCAGGAATGTGCAGTAAACTAGGGGTAACCTTTATAGAATTAAAGCCCGACTGTTGCTAAGGACACCTGTTTTGTTATACATAAGTCAGAGTAATGCAAACACCTAATAATAAACACAATAACAAGTCATATTTCACAGCTCAATAAGGTTTGTTCCATCTCGTCGCGGGTAGACATTTATTTATAACATCTACCTGGCCAAGCCTCAAAAATAAAGTCTGTGCCAAAATGAGGGGCACGTCCTCAGGACAAAATTAAATTTTAAAACAAAGAAGCTTCCTGTCCAGCTTAAAAATACCAGAAATATGATGAACATAACAACGTCAAATGGTTCATTGATCGCAGCATTGGATAAAATCCGTGAACCTTTCTTGTAGGACGTGTTTCTGGTTTACTTCCAAACAAAACCAGACCCGATATCATTTAACCTTCAATCCAATATAACGAGCCATTCGAAATTATTTAAGCGGCCGAGAGAAGAGAGAACACCAGCCGTGCGGAGATTTGTTTGAATTCCCCCGTGAAATAGCAAACAAGCAGCTGTTATCTATGGAATTCTTTAGAGTACCAGCTGAGCGCCAGCAAATATTCGAAAGAGATTGCTAAAGAGCGAATTTTAAAGAGTCCAGCCGATCACTCATTTAACGCGTGATCAAAAATTGATTCCCATTTCAATGCTCTCTCTCTTTCTCTCGCTCTCTGTCTTTGTTGTTGCCTCGAAATTGGCCATTACAGCGCTGGCTTGTGGGCCACGTTGATAAACAATAACAAAAAGCGCGGTGAAAACAACAAAAAGACGTCGATACATAAGTATAAGCTGACCAAAATGTCAGCAAATACGCTAACAAAAACAAAGCGAACCTCGATCCGGTTTCTCAACTTCACTTGTCTGAATTTTTCCTTTAAAACCATTTGATGTTCGTGCCCCTTTATGAATCAGCCAACAAAATCGACTGGACTGGTCAAAAATATACGAATTTATACCCTATAGGTAATGTTTTTTCTCCATGTCACATACTTTTGCAAAATACAATAAATTTGAGTTGTACTGGACAATTTTGATAACGAAAATTTTACATAATAATTATATAAAACTGGAGTGCTTCTTTAAGAAACCCTGTTACATACTTTGACTGGATACAATAAACTCTACGATTAATAGGTATATAAACAAAAAATGTTTTTGAAAAACTAACAATCGATTTGTGTTGTTTTATGAAGAAATCGAAACCTGTCCCTTATGACTTATTTATAAGGGGTCTTTGCTGTCCATACGCAGACGTTCAAAGTTCAAATGCATTTTTAATTTTTTCTGTTTTTGATTGGTTTTTGTTTTATATTTTAAAATATTGTTTTGGGCGATAAGAGAGCTCTTTGAGATATTTTTGAGTGATTTTAATACTTAAACTAATTTTGTGAATTAGTTTAAGTGGATTTTTAAATTAAAAATTAAAATTCTAACAATATAATAGTTTGAGCACATATTTTTATAGAAACTAATTTTGTGAATTATTTTGAACGAATTCTTAAATTAAACATTTATTTTAATTTTGTTTCTCAAACAAATTTACGACATATATAGCTTTTAAGAAAATTTCTTGTTCTATTTCTCAAAATATAGATAAGTTTAGAATATAAAACATGTATTTCAATGGATATGGTTGTAAAATAGAATTGTCTGGCTTAACCACAATTTTTCTATTTTGACAAGAAACTGAGAAGTTACAGATTATGGTTGACCAAATTGTATTATAGTGTTACAATTTTATGGCTAATTTTCTTCACACCTTAGCAAAATGTTTAATGATATGGCCTGGCATTGTTTATTTTATTTTTTCTACATAAATATTTATCTTTAAATTTTTTTTACTTGAGAAGTTTTTATTGCCAAGAGGTTACGACAGATAAAAAATATAAGTAGCCTAACTTAGACTTACCTTCATCCTTGAAGTCAAGGATCTCCACAACCAACTCCTCGTCGCTGAGCAGCTCGAGGGAGCCCGCCTCGTTCAGGCTTAGTGCTTCATCATCGCCAATAAGAGTAATGCCTGGAATAAAGATTTTAGACTTTAGTAAAATCACTGGAATGCGACAGCAAGGGGCACAGACCATTTGCAAAGTTATCGTCATAGAGCCACTCGGCATCTGTTGAGTCAGTGAGCGAGAACAGCTCGGAGCCCAACGCCGATGTTGGGGATTGTGGCTCCAGCTTGAGGTCCCAGTACAGCTCCTTGGGCAACTGCAAACTCTCCATGGTTTGGTGAAATGATGCGTCCATATTCAGAATCAAAATCAGATGTCAAAGATATGTGTTTTGTTGAAATAGTGAAGTCCGGTCCAAAGAATGATAATGGTTGTTTTTGTTGTGAATCTTGTTGTTGTGAAGGTGCCATGATGGCGCTAAAAAAAAGGAAAAATAAAAATAATAAATTAGTTATTTGCTGCAATATTATACGACAATACCGGCATGGATCGCACTGTATGAACACCCGATCGAAAGCAAATCAAACGCAAGTCATACTGATAAGCAACCTTCGCCACCCCTTTAGTCAACAATTCTGTGCAATTTTCTTGAAATAGGGTGAAAATCTAATGTGAAAACTAATTTGAAATTAGCCTTAAGATTTCTGAGGGAAAACGTGACTGGTTTGATGTATTTTTATTTCAATTCATTTACGATCCCTAATTAGGTACAAGCAAATATCACATGATTTGTATTTTTAAATTTTGCTTCGAAAATCTTTTGTAGGTAATAATTTGCGATGTACTTAATTATGAGGATCAAAGTTCCTTGCGTGTCAATAGACAAATCAGAATTAAAAAAAAAAAATGACAGATAGTCAATTAATTTTGGAATCATACATGAAGGCATATTTACCAAAGGTCACTGACCACGTTGTCTGTTTGGGATTAACAAAATCTAGTATTTACAGTTTCAAAGAACATTAATACGAAAAACTCGACTGATGATCCTAATCAAGAATATACTTACGTATAAAACCTTTGATACCCCTTTTACTTCTTGATTAAGGGGTGAGTTTAGACCAAAAGCTATCAACAGGTACTTTTCGATGAAAGTAAACAAAGAGAATTGCTGTACAAGTTTTCGACGTCCATCTATGGGGTGGGTCCGCTTGGGGTAGTCCTCACTGTGGTGAGTCATTCCACATTCCACATCCGCACGTGTTTGCTACCCCTATCAACTTGCAACGCGCATTACTCAACTCCAGGAGGCGATTGCGTCAGCCAATTTCTCTACCTGGTTGCATGCCCCATTGCCTTGGATTGTTTGCATTAAGCACTTGCCACGTTAACAGTGCTAAACGAGAATCCATATAAGCCGTTCCCATACACACACACACACACACACACGTGCAACAACAATGAATTTGCAACGCCAAAGTGCAGCAGTGTGCGTGGGACATTGCGAAATTAGCAAGCGTTTTGAATTTTTAGGTGTACTCACGATGCTTTTTTATACGTTTCCATTTTGTTGTGTTTGGGGCACCAAGGTGCTGTTGGTTTTTGCTTGCGCGCAAACTATAGAGCCATCTTTACGTTAATATAAATGCCGAAAACGTTGGAGAAAATAACACTTTGACCTTTTTGCGTTTCATTTGGAACGATAATGACTGTTGTTGGAGATGTGCAGGTGAGGCGATACTTTTGAGGGTGCCGATAGGTTGCTAATCGATAGTAGTTGCTATGAGAGATAGCAATACAAATTTATGGGGCTGTTGGAACTATTTACTCTTAACTATGGTTTCATTTGATTTTTATATGCCAAAAAATATTTATCAGCTTTGTCAGTTTATTATTTTTATTGTTTAATTTCATTGTTTACTGGCGACCCAAAAAGTTGTAAGCAGTTCATAAAAACATAAAGGGTACTCCCCCAGATTTTGAAATCGGACAGTGCTGGTAAGGAAATAGTTTTTTTGGATCTAGGTAAGGTACAATGTATTTGAGAAAACAATTACATAGGTAAGGTAAGAGGTACTCAATTGGTCAAGTATCTGGGTAAGGTAAGAGGTACAACAAAGGTTCAAAAAAGAAAAGCTTTTGAAAACAAAAACAAATAAAACTATTTCAGTACCTAAATACGTGACATTTTAAAGATAAAAAAATATCTTAACCTTGATAAGGAACAAGGTAGTCTCACATATTAATAACTAGGTAATAAATGAGGAATCAACAAATGTTACCTAGGTACAATTATCTATCCTGCCAGAAAACAGGAGACTTTTTTGGGTAGTTTCCGTAATTAAAAGTTTAATATTTGCTCAAAACATTGCTAAATTAGATTGAAAATTGTATTTGTAAGAGCTTGCTCAGAATCGCGTTGAGCTGCTCAGAACGGCGTCAAATTACGTCCATTTTTAGGCATTTCCTGCTGTTTATCACATCCACCGATCGCTTGACAACCCTGGTGGGAGGGCGAGGGCTCGCTCCTCGCATTAAGTTAATGTGTGCTAAATTGTAATTTAACTACGTATCAGCTTTACAAGTGCGCGTGTGTGCGTCGTCGTTTGCGAATTCGTCGTGTGGGCAGCTCGGTTTTTTAGCTTTTTGCTTTTGGGGGCAGCTGCAGATGTGCCCCCAACGCAAAGCGCGCGTGTGTGCGTGTACGTGCATGCGTGTGAGTGGGCAGGGAAAATAGCAGAAACGGAGCACAGAGGTCAAAAGTGCAAACGCAAAGCTACTCGTAGGAGTGCAAGTGCATCACCTGGGTGGCAAGGTCAAATGCAATCGATAGACAGAGGGAGCGGGAAGAAGGAGAATAACACTGGCATCTCTCTATAATCGTATATGTATAAGAACTTATAATTCTCAAGCTGATAAGCAGCGAGAGAGAACAAGAGAGAGAGAGAGAGACAGAGAGAGGAAAGCGCGTCAGCTGTTCAATGTTTTGGCGCACAGGTTTTGCGGTACTCGCAGCTTCGTTCTTCGATCAGTTCCGTTTGTGGACTGAAACCGCTCGTTCTGCGCTGCCTTCTGCAAGTCCCATTATCCGCCCTCCGATCCGCGTGCGTTTTTCGTTCTAACAGTTGCGTTTCCTCTACTGACGTCTCGCTCTGACGTAGATACCCCACACCACCACCACCTCCCACTTTTGCGCGCGTGTGTGTACGCGATTATTGTTATTATTGTGCTTTGTGACGCATATAACGGCAAAAGCGGGGCGTGTGTGCCATTAGAGAAGCTTCAAACCGCTCCGTAAAAAAAGCGCCAATCGGGCAGGTGTCGTTGAAGTAAACAAATCAAAGATTTCCCATAAATGAAGCTCTTTAGTTAGCAATTTAATTAAGATACCAGATCTCGGGAGTGTTATTAAATGCGCTAAACACGAAATACCAATCTCAATAGCTAACATCTCATTTGAACCGCGATACCATTTACAGAGCGATGGAAAATACCCAACAATTCAAAAGAATGGCCAGCATTTAACTACCACAGCTACGGCAGAGACATTAAAAAACCATTAAATGTGCCCCTTGTCGCCATCGAAATAAATGTTTCCAGCTCAAGAGTGAAATATTTGCATAGACATCTCCACGGCGGCACCTGGTGAAAATGATGCTGAATAAATACGAGGGATATCAACGCACAAGCCAAATGTTTCCCCACCACCAGCAGCAGCATCAGCTGCACCAGCTGCCCCAATTGCAGCAGCCGCAACAGCAGCAACATCAGCAACAGTTGCCCCAGAGCTTTCCGCACTTGCAGTATGGATCTGCAGCAGGAGGAGGATCTGCCGAATCCACTGCAGCGGAACGGGAATCAATCCACTCTGGCCAGTTCATGGTCTCACACTTCGAGGCCGAGGAGGCGCAGGACGACCTCGAGGACGATAGCGAAGTGAAGATGCTCGATCCCGAGGATCCCGATCTTAGCAAGCCGGGCGAGCCGGCCAACACATGTCGCGATGTGCAGCTCTATGTGCCCCAGACGGTTTCCAACTTCAGTCCAATGGACCAGGAGGGCGACGAGAACAGCATGAGCATGGTCACCTCCCATTTGGAGATCGAGACCTCCCTCACCAAGCTCTTCAAGTGCATGAATCTGGCCTACAGGTGAGTTGCAGACCCGTATAACAAAGAGCAACGAACACAACACCAAACCAATATGAAATATAGTTTCCCGCTTGGTCACGCGTTTAGAGCGTGATAACGCCGAAAACTGGCCAACGAAAATCCAGCAAACCAAAAGCTTGGACCGCTTCGGTCGCATAATCGCGGCACATGTTGCGACGCGACGTCGCTGCTCGGGTTACTTTGGACCCAACTTTGCCTCAATCGCGCTTGTCCGTCCACCACCTCCACCGCCTTCTCCACCCTGCATAGCCCCCCTCTTTATGGGTGGTGGTGCTTCTCCCATTTCTGCAAACGCCAGCGCAATAATCATGAAAAAAATATCAAAATGTTGCCACAGCGATATCAGAATGATTCCAAAGCGCGCATTTCTCAAGTCGCCAGCAACATTTACCTGTACGAAAAGGGGGATAACCGACTGACCAGTTATGTGGCGGGAAAATAAATGCAATGATTGAGCAAATAGCTTACAATTAATTCGCTGACGAAAAAGAAGTTTGTATTTTCCTTAAGGTGTACATAGATTAAATAATAATTGTCTTCTAAAACAGGAGTTCTGACAAAACATTAACTAATAATTTATTCTTGAACAAGTAACATTTTACGGTTGTAAGATTTTTGTTGCTTCCTGGAAAGTATTCATTTTGGGGATTTTTAGTCATCACCGTTCATTCAGCACGTTCGTCTGTTCGATCTATTTTTAACCCTATATTGCCCCGCCAATCTCTGTTTTGGTTTAACGTATTGTTTTGTTTTAGAGTCTTATCAGTCACAATAATTCATATGCGACTTTTATACAGGTCCGTTATAATTTATTTTGCTAATTGTTGTATTGCGCTGCGGGGTAATATTCGCCTTTAAAATATAGAAATTGCAATGTGTTTTGCTTATTACGTTTTGTTTGGTATAAACGTATTTGTTTTAAGGGGTCATAGTAGCAAAAAACTCTTTTTTCCCAGCTGCGGTTAAATTTAAAACCAGACTAAAGACTAATAGACTAAACCAGACTAATAGCTTCTCTTGTAGAAGCTAAACAAATTCCCGATGAGTGCGATAAACTGGATCTGTGTCAATAAATGGCAAATACGGGAAGTTATTCATGGCCAAACAACTACGTCACTAGATAAAGCGATATCATAGTTCTTCAGTGAGGGGGCCACCCCCACATGGGAAAGTTGCTAAACTGCTTTCGAGAGCTGGGTTGTGCTAATTAGTTCTCATATCAAGGGTTCTGATCGAGAACAGTAACAAATGTCCGGAATTTACCTGATGTTTGTTTAATAATTCTTACTGAATCATCAGCTAGCGATAATAAAAACAATAACAATAATAAATCAGCACTGACAACATATCGAGTATCAAGTAAAGTTGGCTTGTTGTTTACTATTCCCACTGATATGTATTCATTAGTTGTTTTTAGTCGAGTACAATATGCTACCTAATCTACTTCACTGGGTTAATTAGGAAAGCGGGATTGCGACAATATATATGATACATAGTTGTGTATATATAGGCAGATTTTACAGAGATAGCAGCTGGTTGGGGTTAGGGGTCCGTCTATTTTTAGACCGCAATCTGCTTACAGCTTTAATATTTATAAACAAATCGATTTGTTTATTATATAATGATAATATTGACAAACCGACAGATATCAAAATAGAGGTATTTGATGAAGATAAACCCTGATACAATTCATAAATTTCCCTTGTTCAATATCAGATATTTCTATCTTAACATTTCGCCAATTGTTTTTGTAATGCAACTTTTTTATTTGCAGTCAAAAACTCACCTCGCCCAAATGGAATCATTTCAAAGGAGTTCGACTACGTTGGAAAGACAAAATTCGTCTTAACAATGTCATCTGGCGCTGCTGGCATATGCAATGTGAGTAATGTTCTTGGCTTTAAAAAAAAAAAGTACTCCTAAGGCACATAAGCTTCATTGCTAAGCTCCATTCTTTGTTTACGTTGTTCGAAGACAAAATGTGGGGGATTGACCTTAAAAATTAAATGGGTTTATATTTTTCTTTACTTTTAATGGCTATGTCAGGAGTATGACACGAACTAGGGAGATCTGTCCCTCAATTTAAAACTGTAGCAGATACTTCTAATTAAATATTAAATGAAATTAAAATTAAAATTGTTGAGATATTCCCAAAAATCTAATCAACATGTTCTACTGTACACAAAATCCGATAAGACCGCGTATTGTTAGTTTAGCAAAGGGCTGTTGAGATTTCACATGGTAAAAGTTTTCCACATGCTGTTGGCATTGGGACGGCCCGCGATTGACCGCGATAGGCATTGGTAAAATGTTCAAAACAAATTATAAACCAATTTGATGTCTATTTCCTTGAAAAGCGCGACACGACCGAAAGCCTCGCCAACCAAAAACAATTGAGAATGAATCAGAGGGCCAGAGAAGCTTTTTTAAGCACAATTGTTGCTGCTGGAGCAGATGAACTACTTTTCGGCGATTGTTGGCTGAAAGTTGTCAACTGTCTGGCTGAATGGGTGGATGGGTGGATGGATGGCTGGTCGTACGACTGGGTGACTTAACGTTGCCAGGCGGGCATTGTCGACTTTCCGGGCCTCTTATCATGGTCTGGTCGGTCGGTCGGTCGGTCGGTCGGTCGGCCGTACCGTCGTCCCTTATCAAAGTCTGGACCGCCGGCCATTGTCATTTCATTTGTATGCCATTAAATTTTGTTTTTGGGCCTGCCGGCGCTTAATAAAAAGCTAGAAACATATGATTCCCCGGTGAGGCCTGGTGACTGGCCTCTTTAGTTGCTGCTAAAACATTTCAGTGACCGCTCGTCTAGACGGGCTCGGAGTTTTTTACCGCACTTAAGGAGTGTGGCGCAGGTCTCAAGTGTCCCATTGATTAGCACCTAGTCAAAGGTTAAAGCGAATGACGAATTTTCAATAAAAGCGAAGCGAATCGAATCGAATCGTTTTGATTTTGCTACCACTGCTGATATAATATTTGTTTTAAAATTTTCCGTTACATCATTTGTGCGAGTGGGAGGAGGGCAGCGCAGCGTTACAAGCAGCGATTATCTCTTAGCTCTTCTAGATCGTCGACGACAACGGAACGGCGACAAAGGCAAATGGAAAATTTTATGTTTATTTATAAGAAACAAAAAAAATATCTTGTTGTCTCACAATTAGTACTTTAATCTTTGCAATTATCTACATACATATATGCTGTACGGTTTATGGCAATAAGATAGTCCTAATAAGAGAGGGGGTCGTTGACAGCTTTTGAGAATCATAGACATGTGGGAGACAGTCAGAAGCTATTAAATTTTTAATATTTTTATTTGCACACATTACGTTTGCATTTTCATCGTGACTTGGGTAGTGCAAAACCCAAATTTAAATGACTTAACACGACTTTTGATCATATTCCGTCTTGATCTGTTTGTTTTCCTATCTCTTCGATCGTACTGTTGCTGAAAGTGGCAAACTAAATCTAGGGACAATATTTTTGGAAATTCCCAGACAGACAACGATTTTATCAAGCTAACACAGTGTGGAAAAATTCTGACGGTTATGGAGGCGTCTTTCTAAATATAAACGAGCGTTGTGTTATCAAAACAATGGGCAGAAAAAATGGAGTATGCTGGAGCCTTGGATTAATTATTCATAAAAAAAAAAATTAAGAGCAAATGTTTTAAATTAAAAATTCTAAAATTATAAAATATATATAATTATAGCCATTGGTTGTTATAGGCTATGTTGCATCTAAGGCAACTAATCAATTTACTTTTAGAGACCATTGCCAAGAAATTAAAATACATATTGCATCTCAGCGCCTCTAAAGCGCTTACTCACTCCACGGTACTCTTTGTGCCTAAATGTGTACATGATTTAGTTAAGATTGAAGAGCTCATTGCTTTGTTGTACAATTGTACTGCTTACTGCTACGTCACAGCTTTCCAAGATAAATGGTTTTTGGGAAGAGCCACTGGGACTGTCACACGTGTTGCTAACAACTCTTGTCATCTCTGGGGAACTTACTATCTCTATCTATCTCTCCCTAGAATCTTATCACTATGGCTGTCTTTTTTTTTTTGTACTAAACAGTGTTTTGTGTGTTTTTTCCATTTTTGCAGTCATTCAAAAGCGCAGAACCCCGGTGTGTCAATTCGCATCGCCGCTGGACGTTGACATACATAGTAATCCTCAAGTAAGTACTGGCAAAACTACTAAATATCAACTGACAAGTGGTTGTCCTGTTGAATAAGTGGACGTGTGTATACTAACGACTATTAAAAAATACGAAAGTTTACTTAATTAATTGTTGTCATGGTAAATTGCATTTCGTGTCAGTGGAACAAGTAGATGAAAAGATTAAAATAATTTAAATTATAAAATAGTCAAATCAAAGTTTTTAAAATTTAAAAATCAAAGATTGTGACAAGTTTTTTTGTTTTTATAATTGATCGATGTACTTAAATATATTAGCTTATTAAAATTGAAAGTTGCTCGTTATTTGAAATGCCATTGATCAGTCCACATCGAACCATTCAAACTTGAGGGCATCATAAATTTAGAATTACCTGCAAGAGATATACTCATCTAGCTATCACAATGAGCGTCTAAAGTAGCACCCCCACATCGGCTGGTGGATTCACGCGGCTGGCAAGGAAGACATCACTCGATTGCGACGTGATCGTCGCGCGATTGTCGTGCGCCATTGAAGACCTGGGTGAGATATGCCTCGGACCCCTGGGATTGCCGTGGTCCTACCATCTTCTTTCCGCCGGACCCTCTCCAGCTGCACGTGATAAGAGCGGTGGGGCTGTTTCGGTGTTATTTTTAGCTGTCATTAACCTATTGGCGGGGCACTCTTATTTATAGACTGAGATTTAATTTAAGTACCATAACATTTAATCGATGTACTTATCGTTTGACAACGTGGAACTTGCATATTACTACAGATAGCTTGTAATGCTTGTAACAGGCGACAAAAGTCCTGTAAAAAGTCGATCAAAAAGGCCCAAAATGTAGTTTAGTAATAACCTTTTTTAAAAACCTAGTAGTAGTACATTTTACCACATAGTTCTCTTTATTATTTTTATGATATTTTAAGTAGAAATACAGCTTGGCTTTACAGATTTTGAGTTTGTACTTCCAAAGGAAAGTGAGAATTAGAATCGGTTATGAAGAATAATACATCTCTCCGGTTATCTCTGCGGGAATGTAGATTACGATTAATCATAATTAAGTTAGGACATACAGTATATATTTGCTTTTGATTAGGAAATAGACAAGGTTTCGGTGTATACACGCTCTCATCTCGCTTTATCTTTCTTTTCTACCCCACACAGACTGTTGTTCTTGAAGGCAAGTACTGGAAACGTCATTCAGCCGTAATCAAAGCTGAATACAGAAAATGGCGCAGAAACTATAGATCAAAGGCTACGGGCTGCTTAACGTACGATTCGGTAAGTGATCAAAATTTGTTCGCCGACTTTGTAGTAATCTCCATCTCCTTGAACTGCACCAGAATAACCATATACGTGAATATGGCTGTAAATAGCTATATAAAATTAAAATATTATTAGGCAGTAGATCATGGAATGGATTCAAACGGTTTTACCTTAAACAAAGTGCTTTTATCCAGGGCGAAAAAGCCATAGGCTGTTAGAATGGGCTGTTGTCGAAGGTTTTTGAGTAGAAATTTCTCAATCTGAGGGAGAATTGTTAATATTGATATTTTTTAAATGGTTTTGTAATCTGCTTACCATTCGATCCAAACCAGTTCCGGTCCTAGGTACTTTGGCCAATATCTTTGCCGTTTTGTTTGCCTGCAAAATAGAGATTTGGGTCTGGTGTCAATAATATTTCAATACTACCTTAAGTTCTTAACCCAATCCCGCAACGAACTCACTTCCACCGTAATGCCATTCGTGCGCAGCATGATAACCAACATGATCATCCAGGGTGTGTCCCAAGTGGAGGATATCAAGAGCATTGTCAGCCATTGGCTACGAGCGAACTTGCCCTCCAGCACGGTGCTTATTAGATAGAAGGGTCCCGATGGCGCCATCAGAAGCACCAGGGCCACAATGGGCAGCATGAGCAGGCCAAAGCACTCGTTTAGCTCACCGCCACACACTGTCAGGATCTGCTGTCTGCCTTGAAGACCCGGAACCAGTTTGCCCTGGCCCAGCAGCCGGTTGTAATGAACCAGACCAGCAGCCATAATCTGCTTGAGGCACACAAAGAACACCAGGAGCAGGCAGAGTACCAGATAGGCATAGATGTAGACCACCATGCTGAGGGCCAAAGGAATGGCAGCCAATCCGGCACGACTATAACCGTACAGGTAGTTGCCAAAACAGACCGCCGACAACACGCCGTACAGGATTAAGTTGTCCAGAAACTGGCGATCTGTGGAGCTGTCCACACACCGCCTATTCAATCGCAATAGATGTTGAATCAATTGCCTGTGCCGGTGCCGCCGTGCATAGAGAATTACGTAGAGTAGCATCACCACCAGACAAGTGCTGCGAAAGATGATGGTCTCATAGAAATTTCCCGTCCGGTTGTAAACGGGTATGTGAAAGCGATCCGGCTGGAGGTTTGCAAAGGTGAAGCATGCCGTGGCAGTGGCCAAAATGAAGACCGCATAAACCAACGCATAGCGCTCCTTTTGGCGTGTGCTCACTAGCTGACAGCCATCCGTATCGAAATGCCAGCACATCAGACCCAGGAGGTGCAGCAGTCGGAGATACAGTCGTAGGTCCCGGCACACGTTCGACATTCTGCGGACGAGTTGGACATCCGCTGGCAACTAACCAATCCATCGGATGGGTATCACATTTCATTGTTGATTTACCCGATGTCAATAATTTCACGGTAATTGATTAGTTCTGATGGGTGGCACAGAAACCTATTAAATTAGGCCTCACTCCTTCCGTTGACCCCTATCTCTTATACACTGGCGAAACATAACATCTGTATGTTTGAAAAACTATTAAATAAATTTGGTAAATACTCAAATAAACCACCAAACTAGTTAAGGATTGTAACTAATATTATTTCTTCTGTTTCTAAAAACCAAAATATAATGTAAAACTTCGAACTAGAACGTGTTGGTTTTAAAGTAGTTACAAAACTGATTTAAGCTTTTGTAAATTGTTGGTATTGACGATTTTAAAAGGCTTAAAAAGACTTTCCATGTGCCCTAATGGGCGTGTTTCCTTCTTCCTGTTTTATCACTTTGAAAGTCATTCGATAGCTACTCACCTCCTTCTGAACATCGTTGGTGCCCATGGCCAGAACAAGCAATGCCACCCAAGGCACGCTCCACAATAAGGCGGTTAGCGACATAAAGGCAAACCGCCAAGTCTGCCGAAAACGGCCTTCAAAGATGGTCGACACCAGGTAGAATGGTCCCGAGGGGGTTAACAGCAGAATTAATCCGGTTATTGGTAGTAGCAGCAAGCCGAAACTATAATTAATCTCGACATAGCTTAGCCACATCACCTGGTTGTATTTGCGAAAGATTTCATTAAATCTCTGGCATTCCTTGCACGACTTTATATTTTCGAGAAGTAGCTCATTGTAGTGCTTCAATATCGAGAGCAGAATCTGTTGAATGCCGGCGAACAGGACGACCACCTGGCCGAGAATGAGGTAGGAAAAGCCATACTGCAGCAGGTAAATGGGCATTGTGGTCCATCGAACGGCTGCCGCCCAGTATCCGTGGCCATAGTTCAGCATGCAAAACACAAATAGAGACAGATGCAGGTAATAGGAAATTGCAAATCTTAAGGATCCACTGCGACTTCCTGCGATTTGGTTAAACCGCAACATCGATTGCAACAGACTGGCGAAGCGATAGCGTCGTACATAGAGATGAATGTAGACCAGCAGTGTGAATATGGCACAACATCTGACATTGATCAGGGCATAGCAATTGCCGGTGCTGTTGTGTTTGCCCATCACAAAGTGATGAGGATAGTACAGGCTGTAGCTGAGCAAACTGCAGGTGACCACGAAAACACCGATCAAATACAAGCACGCACTGCGCTCCTCGAAGGCACTTAACCGCACTTGGCACTTCTCAAAGTCGATGCTAAACCGCAGGACACCCAGCCATCGAAGGGTTCGCAGCTGAATCCGCAACTCCTCAAATGCGTTGCGTGACATTGAGTACGCTACACATTACTAATGCACTTGCATTAATAACATATGTATTTTAAGTATTTTCACTGAAAATTATAGCAACTGTCTGATGGGAGCTCTTCAGGGACTTGCCTGGTCAACCATAAAAACAACACCATTGGGTCAATATTTGCCCATCATGGGCTAGAAACACTTAATGAATTAATTTGGGATATTGTTAGATGGTTAAGTAAATAATATAGATATATATATATCTGGCTCACTTAAAGCAATACATATACTAACGATGAATTTTTAAATTATAGCATTTACTAAGAAAGGCTTTATATTATGAATTTTAAATGTTAATGCATATGTAGATTAAGTTAGAAGTTATTGACTTCTCAGCTCACCTCTTTGCGCACCAGGTCGGTGCGTAGTGTCATCAGGATGGCCACCATTGTGGATAGATTCCACAGTAGCGTGGTGGTCAGCCCATGCCATAGGGTTTGCATTTCAATGTTGCCAGCGTCGATTTCAAAGGCGATGATTATCAGAAAGAAGGGAGCAGCTGGCGCTGAGAAGAGTAGGAAGGCCATTATTAGCACTATAACAAGTCCAAAGTCGGAGCTAATTCGCCGACTGCAAACCCATAGCAGTCGACTGCGTTGTCGCAGGCGTAGCACGCACAAGGTCTCCGACAACACCAGGTTGCAGTCCACTAGCTGGGACAGGTCCTGGTTGTAGAGCAGCATCAAGCTGGCCGAGATGCGTACCAAACAGTAGTGAAAGGCCACGACCAGACCAATCAGTATGTAACTGTAGGTGGAAATTGCACTCAGTACCACTTTCTTCCAAAGCTCAACATCAGCGTCGACAAAGGAATTGAACTGTACAAATGCACTGAGCAACACCTGGCTGGCATACACTGCGTACACCCGGACGAACTCTCCTTCATGGCGATTCTTTAGATCGGTGCGATTATGATGCAGCAGCAGGGATATCAATGATGTCAGCCTGCCACGACGCACGTAGAAGTACAAATGGATAAGGACAATTGTCAAGCAGGCTAATCCATAGTTGGCCAAGAAATACGTATTGCCCACATCGCCATTTAAGGGCAGCTTGTATTCTCCAGGCCTAAATGCCAAATGGCCCAGAGCCACTAGCGAAATGCATTGCGACCAAAGCAATCCTATCAACGAAATTTTGTCATCTGTTCTAGATGTATACGTCCTGTAGCCGCTGTCGCACTCCTGTGTAATGCACAACAGACCGAGGCACTTAAACGTCAGCAAATACACCCGCAGCTCGGCACCGAGGGTCATGGCGGATGACCACGAACTGCCGAAAGGGCAACACCAAGGGTTCCGCCGCTTTCTCCGCCCCATTGAATATTGAATAATCAATAAGTGTTTAGATAAAGATATCAATTGTGATAAGCGCTCGAAATAACTTGTATAAAAAAAGGGAATGCGAGCACAAAAGCTAAAGTCTTTTCTAGGAAGTTTATACCAGGAAAGAGTCGAAACCCCTTAAATATAACTTATGGGATACATTGAAGTAAATAATCTTCTTTGTGACTTAGTTAGTTCCTTTTACATACCTGAATGCCGACGCAATTGCTCATGAAACTAGCGGCACAGGTCATCAAAGTTGGTGAAAGCCACACAATGTCTGCTACCAAGTTCAAGCAAAGCGACTTCTTCGTTTGAATCACCATGGTCAGGTAGATAACGCCAGTTACATCCAGCGAGGCGAACATCCACGACAGCCAGACGATGAATCCGTAGACGAGACTGATCTCGTCATTGCAGAGGAGCACCACGCGATCGTGGAGCTCCAGACAAGCCCGCAAACGTAGGAGATTGGCGCTGCTCTTCTTAATGTCTGCGGATTGTTCGATTATCGCAGTGATTTGCGACTGATTCCAGCTGAGCACCAGGCGCAGAATGTGCACCATGCAAAAGTATGTGCCCATTGTGAAACTGGTGACTAGATAGCGCAGAGGGAATCCCAGCGTGGTGACAACAAAGAGTCCCGAATGATCCGTCAGCCATTCGAACGCACACGTCTTCAGGAAGTTGGCCATGTAGACCAGATTGGTGAAAACAATTAGCCAAAGTAGGCGTTTGGGCAGCAGCAGTCGCACATCAGCCAAGTGCTTCCGGCGATAGAATTCAATTTGCCGGACGATCCGAAGATGCGGCGCCTGCAGCCAAATGAGCCAGGCATTCTGGATGACCAGAATGCCCAATGCAGTCACCATCACCAGTCGATCGAAGTGGTTACCCGTCAGGGTCAACTCCCTCTTGAAGGAATTGCCCCAGAATATGACTATCACAGCTATGCAGCCGACCAAATAGGCCTGCAGGGCAAAGTGCACCACGTAGCAGACGAGACTGCGCCGCAGTAGGAACCTCTTCTTGGTGGGATTATAGTCGATGCAGAATATGCCCAGGTATCGACACAGGCGGTAGTACGCACACAGTTCCCCCGACTGAAAATCGTCCATTGCGATTGGGTGTCTAGCTCTATAATGAACTCGGATAAACGGCCACTTTTGTGGGTTACCCAGATTTGAACTTCATTTCTAAATATAGGATAATGACTAATAGGCAAACAACTTGAAGCATAATAATAATAATAATAATACCTCGTACTTAGAAACGTATGAGTCTTGGTAGTTCTTTTGTATTGATTTTTAATAGCACCTTAATACCTATAGGATGTGTAAGCCAAACCCTATTTAATATTATCCCAATTTTCTAATATCACAAAGTAGTTTTCCTTGATTAGAGAGTGTCACTTGGTCGGGACACCAGATTGTTTTCCAATTGTTTTCATTAGAACGACGTTAAAGCGTTTACATACACTCACCTGATTAAGTACGTCATTGACGGCCAAAGGGAGGACGAGATAGAAGAGCATGGGCACCAGCCAACACAAGATGAGCCCCATTTCACTGGCCGAATGGAATCCCTCCAAGTGGCTGACGAAGAATATTAGTACACACTGCATGACCTGGTACATGAAGAGAAAGAGTAAGACTCCGCCGTAGATGGCAATCAGTTCCCGTTGGCAAAGCAGCAGGATCTCATCGTGAGCTCTCAGACTGCAGGCTAGATTAGCCGGTGAGATGGCATTGGTGGACACCAGGTTCTCCAACTGGTCCACCTGGGCACGCAGTAGCCTTTGCAGAACTAACACCATGCCGCTGTAGCAGGTGAATTGGAAGTTGGCCAAAATGCAACGAGCTGCAAATCCCAGAAGTGTGAGGACGTGGCTCAGCTGCATGTCCTTGAACCAATGGAAGCCGAAACCGAACATCAGGATCCCATAGCCGAGGCACACAGCCAGCCAGATGCGGTACAACAGGCGGGGATGGGGCATTGCCAGCCGATCCCATTGCAAACGTCGCCCCAACTGGCAAATGCGGTTCAGCAGGGTCACCTGCGACTCTTGCTGCGATCGGAACCACAAATTGGCCAGCAGCTGGCTCACCGAGGTGGTCAGTATCACGGCGTTGTCATACGCGTTGCCGCTCTCGGACTTGGTGTCCATGTAGTATAGGGATTCGGCCAGTGCCGCCACCAGAGCGGACACGAAAACTCCAGCGACCAGAGACTGAGTGGCCATGGAAATCCAAGTACCATGGAGCCCATACTTTTGCAACGAATCGGAAAAGTCCAAATCCGAGAGGCCCAAATATCGTTGATAGCGCAGAAAAGACAAAAACTTTGGACTCATTATGCCCATACGTGCTATTGGTAATATTTCACGAAACTAACTGGCAAACTATCAACATGTTAAACATCAATATTCCAATTAAACTAATTGCCAGGTTTTGTGCTTCACTATCTTTCAGTCACTTGCATTGCAAACGATAATTGGTTTTTATGCTCTAGTACTTGGGGTCCTTTTTATTGTACGACCTTGTAAATAGGCATACGAAACGCTAAGTGAATATCACAAATAAATGATAACTTATTCTTGAAATGCATTCAAAATAAAAGTTGTGGATTCAGGGAGAATGTGAATTTGGGAATGGTTTTAATATCAAAATAACATTTTTATTATTATACTTCAGAACTTCAGAACCAAACATTTTTCTCTATGCTTTTTATTCTGTTATATTTGGGCTTATAAGAAAAGAACACGCTTATATTTGAACTTAGACATTTTTAAATATTATTTTCGATCATACTGACTGATAGCGATGAATATATTTAAGTGGCTAGCAAAAAATCGGCAACTATCTTGCTTTTAAAATTAAATGATAACCCTTTTCATGTGTCACTTCTGTTGCAGAAAAGCGAGTTGGACTTTTTGGAATGGTCGCCGCTAAACGATAGGAACTTGATGCCAGACGATTGGACAACGGACACCTTGTTCTCGGCCATAAATGTTCCATTTCCTTTTCCTGATTCCCGGGAAATTGGTGCGTGATCCCGAACAAATAGCCTTAGCTTAGCTCATGAATAACACTTTCTTCAATGATTAGCACGCGGCGCTGGCATCGCTGACTTCATACAGCCCAGTCTGGGGCCCCTGCAACCGAATTTAGATGACATCGACATTAGCTTCTCAGGTTTGTGCATTTGTGCAGTTCTTCTATGAAAGAGTTCAAGTAGTTACAGTTTTTTGATATATTTTACAGACCTAATCCCCAGCACACGCTTGCCACCAGTTCCGGAAGAGGGAACCGATGCTGAAATGCTCAAGAACGACGAATACTGCCTGTCGGCGATTGTGGGCGCTCCGCACACCCTCTACTGCAATGACAGCATAATGGATGTGGTCAACAGCAGCAACAGTGGTGCCGCAAATGTGGACGCCAGCATGCTGGAGCTCAACACGCCCATTAATACAATGTCCTACGGCGAGGTGGAGCAACGATTCTCCGTGGCGCGACAAGTGCAACAGCAATCCGCCAACGATTCTCAGCTTCTCGGTGATCCGAACTCCATGTCCGCCCGAATGCATGGCGGCAAGCACTTTGGCTCTGTCGGTGGCGCCAGCGACAACAGCAGCAGCAATAGGTGCGTGATCAATGGCCGTGTGGCCAAGAGCACGCAGCGTCCATTCCGGCGGGAGCCGCACAACTACGACAAGGCTCAGCCCACGCTGCACCAGACGAACCTCTACCAGCAGATGTTGGCCGAACAGCAAAAGAACCAACAGCATGTCGTCGGCGGCGTTGTGTTGCAGGCTGCCTTTCAGACACCGCAGCAGCAACAGCAGCAGCAACAGCAGCAGCAGCAACAGCTCACGCAACAGCAACACTTTCCGACGCAGCAGACAAACGCCTTCAATAACCAGAGTTTCATGAGCAGCTACACGGACAACTATCAGCAGCAGCAGCAGCAGCATCAACTGAATGTCAAGGTGGAACCGCTGCATGCCGATGTCTTGTCATTGCTGAACGATGGCGGTTACAACTCCATTGGCTACAAGCCCTATCCGCAGTTCAAGAAGTCCGCCTCGACGGGAACCTTTCTCAATGTGCCCCGACTGCCGCAGCAGCAGCAGCAGCAGCAACAACAGGGCTACCTGCAGCAGGAGCCACTGCAGTTGCAACAGTCGCTGCCCTTGGGACTGAGTACTCAGCAACTTTTGCAGCTTTCACGCCAGCAGCAGGCTACCAACACGCAGCAATCCACCGTGGCTAGTTTGCTGCAGCAACATCAGCAACAGCAGCAACAGCAGCAGCAGCAACAACAACAGCAGCAGCAGCAGCAACAACAACTGCAGACTGCTGTAAGCACAGCCACTTGGGTGTCGCCAAATACCATATTGCCAAAAGAAATCCATCGCTCCAACAGCTTGCCCCTGAATGTATCGCTGAATAAGCTGCCCGATGGCCGGCAGCACGTCCATGAGCAACCCTTTGCAGTGCCCAAGTACCATGCGAAGGGCAAGTCGCGGGTGCGCAGCAATTCGATGCACCAGCAGCACACGTCGGTGGTGGCAGCAGCCGGCGCTGGAAGTTCTCCATTGAGCGCGCACAGCTGCAGCAATCTGCTGGTCACGCAGCAAATGCAGCAGGCCACCAGCGATCCTATGCTAAATAGCACACTGGCTCAGTTGCTCACTTCGAGTAAGTTTTTCCTGAGGAAGTTGTGTGTATTGACTAAATATTTCTTTCACTTTTAGATTCACGCCTGCAGACAGCCGTGGCGAACAGCTCGCCAGCGAACTCATCTTCCGCCAGTGCCATAGTCAGCAGCAACACCAGCAACAGCAACAACAGCAACAACAACAACAACAGCAGCAATGTTTCGCCGGCCCTGTATGCCAATGTCACAACGCCGCTGTCGGTGCCAGCGGTGGCAGCGCAACAACAACACTCACCAAAGAAGTCCGCCTCATTGCCCATGGCCATCAATCCGGCGATGCACAGTCCGCCCGGAGGAGGAGGAGGAGGCAAAATGCACAGCTTTGGCCCGACAACGGCCAACCTGGGCAGCAGCAGTTTGAGCCTGTCGCCGGACTCGCCGTTCCACGAGTCGCAGGACTCGCCACTGTCGCCCACGGCCAGCCTTAAGTATCAGCCGAGGGATACACAGCGACGGGCTGGCCACATCCACGCCGAGCAGAAGCGGCGGTACAACATCAAGAACGGGTTCGACACCCTGCACGCGCTCATCCCACAGCTGCAGCAGAATCCCAACGCCAAGCTGAGCAAGGCGGCCATGCTGCAGAAGGGAGCGGACCACATAAAGCAACTGCGGCAGGAGCGCAACGTGCTCAAGGACAAGATTGAGGCGCTGCGGATGGAGCGGGACGAGCTAAACAACTCGCTGACGTAGGCTAATCCGGAAATATTATATCTGCTGATAAATCATTAAATTGTTCTTTCTTTAAAAGGCACCTTCACTCCATTCTGCCTGCAAATGGGGCGCCTGTAACGAGGCAGGGCACGGAGCACGTTCGCCAGCTGTACGAGATCTTTGTGCGGTACAACACGATGAACGACTGGAAGTTTTGGATTGTAAGTAGAAAACTGATTTTTAAGCTTGACTATAGAGGCTAGAAGTCGGAAGTCAAAATCAGCGATGAATCTTGAGTAAACAGAAGTTTGAATAATAAATTCAATAATTGTGTGTTATTTACTAAATGATAAACCCTGTGCTACAGTCTTATAAAAGTAAATCAGAAAACGTAGGGTTCTTGGATGGTATTGCAATTTTATTAAAAAATATATTTGATAATAAATAAATATTTGATAAGTTTGCATTTACAAATTTACCTTTTAAAAATTGAAAATTTTGTTTTGATTATAGATGCAGTGTGAAAGCTTAAACAAGGTCTTTTTAAATAACACAAGACCACATAATGAAAATTAATCTAATTTAAATTACATAAAACTATATTTTACTTTAAACTGAATTCTTAGCGAGTGCGAACGATTAAATATTGTTTATGTCGTCCCCCTTTCAACAGTCAATTAAAATAAAGTTTTTACACAATATATACATATGAAAAAGAATAAAAAATTGTCTAAGGAAATAAACTATCTTTAAATTATAATTCAATTTAAATTGTTCTTTCAGTTGGGTCTCATTCTGGAGCCTCTGCTTGCCTCTTACACGTCCACAGTGTCGAGCGCCAGTCTGGATGAGCTGCGTCGCACGGCCTTCCTTTGGGTGGATCAGCATTGTTCCCTTATTGACCTGCGTCCCGGTTAGTCAATCTTCATTTAAACAAAATGAGCCGTTTTATATATAATTGTTTTTAATTTACCTTCAGCTGTTACGAATAAATTAAAGTACCTATCGATGCATACGGATATTGTGTCAGATCCGCCCAGCACTTTGCAGGAGGAGGTGATCAAGGCCCTTCAGAACTCAAGTGGCCAGCACCCCAATTTACATGGCCCCTAACCGTTGATGCTGTTGCCCGTGATATGAATTTATTTAATTCAATCTTTATTTTAACAAATAACTTCAACCAATTGTGCAGCACTAATTGTACAAAATGCAAAATGAAGGCAGATTTTTATACTATACTATAGATTGGCAGCCGGCAATGGATAGTTACGCAGAGCAGCAATTAGTGCCTACAATCTTTGACTTAAGCGTAAAATAAACTAACGATTTTACAAGTTTTTGACATGCGAATATTTTTTCATTTTTAATTTCAGGAATCGAAATGGTTTTATATACACCACTGACCTATTTGAATAAATTGTTTAATTTCTTGTCATGCAAATATGTTATAATTTATATTTTATTTTTATGGAAGTTACAACTCAACGTCGCTTTATCGCTTATGTCTTTTTGATCCTCTGTTAAACAGTCAGGCTATACTTATTATGATTGTAAAGTTCAGAAACTGGGTTTAGAATGGAGTTAAATGAAAATGAGAAATCGAGAAATCGAGCATGCTTAAGTAGCTTTAATAATTAGTTTAGTTCAAAGTTCGACAACTTCTAGTACATAATTCTTGTTTTATTTACCTCAATTACGCACTAAAATAGTTTAATGGCTTGATCGATAAGAATCCGCAACGAATATTTGAAAGAAAGAAGAGAGTGTAAATTTGTTTGTTTAGTGCTCAATGTTCTGTGGGCTTTAAAAGATTACCTGAGGGCTAAAAGATAAGGAGCGTGCACTTACAAACCGATAGGGAAATTCTGGTCGGGTGTTTTATAAGGGAGAGCGAAAAATTTGCTCATTTAATAGACTATACGGACGCGTGCGATAATTGAGCTTAGTGCACTCGTTCAGTTGTGGTCAGGCAGTCAGACAGTCTTCACGTAATCATGATTGCTGTCATATTTTTCATTATTGTGGCTTTTGGATCAATAGTCCTAATCCCGGTGGTAGTCAGTGGATTACTACTCGGATTGGTGATCGTTTGGCTGTGGCAACGACATCATTTTAGCCACTGGCAACGTTTGGGCGTTCCCTTTATCCCGGCCACGCCCTTTGTGGGAAACGTGTGGAAACTGTTGCGAGGCGGGTGCTGCTTTGGCGATCAATTCCGGGAGCTTTACGAGAGTGCGGAGGCTGAAGGCCGAGCCTACGTGGGAATCCACGTCCTGCACAACCATGCGCTGCTCATTCGAGATCCGGCTCTGATCAAGCGCATCATGGTCGAGGATTTTGCGCAGTTCTCAAGCCGCTTTGAGACCACAGATCCCGTGTGCGACACAATGGGTTCCCAGAACCTATTCTTCGCCAAATACGAAACGTGGCGGGAGACGCACAGGATCTTTGCACCATTCTTTGCTGTCGGAAAGGTGCGTCAGATGTACGGCCTTCTGGAGAGCATTGGACAGAAGCTTGAGGAGCATATGGAGGAGAAGCTCATGGGCGGGGATAGTGTGGAGCTGGAGGTCAAGCAATTGTGTGCCCTCTTCACCACGGACATTATTGCATCACTGGCCTTTGGCATTGAGGCACATAGTCTGCAAAATCCGGAGGCGGAGTTCCGTCGCATGTGTGTCGAGGTCAACGATCCGCGACCGAAGCGCCTGTTGCACCTCTTCACCATGTTCTTCTTTCCGCGATTATCGCGACGGGTTCGCACTCATCTGTACTCGGATGAGTATGAACGATTTATGCGCCAGTCCATGGACTATGTACTGGCCCGACGCGAGGAAAGTGGTGAAAGGCGCAACGATTTGATCGACATATTCCTGCAGCTAAAGCGTACCGAGTCGACGGAGAGCATAGTCCATCGTCCGGATTTCTTTGTGGCTCAGGCTTCTTTTCTGCTTTTGGCCGGCTTTGACACCTCATCGTCTACCATAACCTTCGCCCTATATGAGTTGGCCAAAAAGCCAGCGATTCAAAACCGCTTGCGGGAGGAGATTCGCGAGGCCTTAAAGTCTAATGATCAGAAGTTTAGTTGCGACACGGTCACCGGTTTGGTGTACCTGCGACAGGTGGTGGACGAAGTGCTGAGGCTATATCCGCCGACGGCATTCCTGGACCGATGCTGCAATGCCCGCGAAGGCTACGATCTCTCATCGTGGAACTGTGGATCGCCGTTTAAATTGAGTGCGGGTATGCCTGTTTATATATCAGTATTGGGATTGCATCGCAATGCACAGGTCAGATGAAGTTACACTATTATCAATCTATATTCTATAATTGCAATGATTTCAGTACTGGCCAAATCCCGATGTCTTCGATCCGGAACGCTTCTCGGCCGAGCAACGCCAGCAGCACCATCCAATGACATATCTGCCCTTTGGCGCTGGTCCCAGGGGCTGCATTGGAACACTACTAGGTCAGTTGGAGATCAAAGTTGGATTGTTGCACATTCTCAAGAACTTTCGGGTTGAGCTCTGCGATGGGACTTTGCCGGTAATGAAATTCGATCCCAAGGCCTTTGTCCTGGCTGCTCATAATGGAACTTACCTGCGTTTTGTAAGAAATCCTCTTTGAAATAAATATTCCATTTATGCTCATTTTTAACTATATTAATGTTGTTTATTGGTAATTGAATTTGTCACATATTTTTTTTTTATTTTTGTATTTAAAACTTTTTTTTAAAGTTCAGCTCAAAGATTTTCACACAAATTTGTCAGTTGAGTTGGTCAACTGTTGTTGATAATGTATATTATTAAAGTTTATAATTCAAGGATCACGAATAGTGCAATGAAGATTTCATTTCAATGAATATTTTAAACTACATTTGCATGATTTCAAGTAATTAGGAATTTATTTGTGTGTACCTCAATAATCAACAACATTTGACCAACTCGAAATATTCGACATTTATCTATTGTTTTTATTTTTGTATTTTTTTTTTTTGTTGTTTCATGTACAATTTAAAAAACTAACCTGGAGCTCTTCGAATTCTCCTCTTTTTTACAAATTATCGAAAAATAACTAAAGCAATTTTACACAGACATTATCAACATAAAACTATAGCTAATAACTAATTGCATGTTTTGTTTTCACACCTAACGCGTTGCTTGCTTTTGAACTGATGATTATACAAAAATAATAAACTCAAAAATATATATTTTACATCGAAATATTGAAATTTGTATTGGTTTTTGCAATATTTTCACAATTTGCGTTAACGATTTACGAAAGTTTAAAATACTAACTACGAGCTAAGAATACCAGTTAGCAATGTACAACGATGTATGAGGCTAATAAAGTAAAATTCTTTGTGAATGGTAATAAAAAAATTGTCAAAATCAAAATGCAAATTACAGGCTGAATGGGTAAATGTATAACTATTTTAGCTGATTATTTAACTTATTTTGATTTTGATTGATGCGTTATATTTCGATGATTACTACAAATCGGGATTATAATTTTGAAGCTTTGTATTAGTTATGGCATGTAACATCATATATAGCAGATCGATCCCGAAGTATGTAGTTTTGTTTGTATGGAAAATTTGCATTTTGTTTCGATTATTTTTCTGGGTATATTTTTTAATGCCTGAGGCTGGACATATTGATGGAAGCAAAAATCGAAATCATAATTTTGAAAATTAGAATTTAAATTTGTATCTCATATATAGATTGATTTTCATTGTGTTATTTCCATGCATATTTAAAGTGCCGGATTACGAAGTTCATTTTTGGTTTTCCTAATTCTTAGCGGTTGTTTACCTGATCCACAACACTTGCCAAAACACCTAGTCATGTTAATAAAGACAGAGTTGAACGCAATATTGCCCCGTCTAGGTTTATGCATATTGTTTTAGCAGCATATATATATATAGCTCGTTAATTACATTCATAGTAGTGTAGTTTCGACATGACATACATTTATATACTCATATATATAGCGTATTTGTATTCTCACTTTAGTTTGCAAGTAAACATGTTTGCATTTCCTAAACTATAGATTAGTTGTTACACTTTCTGTTATTTTTACTCGATCGGTAAGTCTTCTAATTCATTTTAAAAAACACTTAGGAGTCCCGGACACTACTATCTTCTATCCTGCATCACGACCTGTTTGAGGGCACCCGCTCGAACGCTTGACTTGACCTCGTGTCCGCCCAACGAGGCGGTTCCATCGCGAGCGATGTACAGCTGAAGCCCTGAGGCTAGATAAACAAAAATGGTATAGTTAATTTTTACATACTGATAGGCAAGTCTCGTTGAGCTACTTACTTTCTGCGGATTCCTCCAGCTGATCCAGCTTAGTGTCCTTCAAAATCTCATCAATTAAGAAGTCTGGATTGACCCGCGTCTCCTCCACTCGATCCGAAACGCGTGGCCCATCATCCAGCGCTCCTTTCTTGCGCTTCTCACCGCTGCTTTTCGTCCGATCTAGAGATCCTGTTTCACTTATAACTAACGAACCGGAACTGGGATTCCTGTGGATACATAATAATCTTGGTTGTTAACAATCTTAAAGCCCATGTACTTATTCAATAATTAAACAGACTATACATATAAGTGCATTAAAGAATAAAACCTTCTGGCGTGTGTATAATAATTGCAATAAAAACAGGACAACAGAAACGCAGGCAAAAAAAATAAACAAGGCAGAACAATACAAAGTTTGGGTACATTTTGGTCATAGCATGCCAACCAAACACTGTGCGCTTTTTAATTTATGAAATGAATATGCTGATATACGAGTGTGACGCAAAATCAACAAATGTCATCAAATCAAAATACTAAGAAAACTGTTTGGTTTTCTCGATTTGAATAAATATCCAAAAAAATCGTAGTTTGATTAAATTTGTTGTGAAAATTAAAAAACAAATTCAGGAAAACAATATGAATCAAACTTTATTTGTTCCCAAATAGATTGATCGCTAATTTTCTAAATGAAAATAATTACATAAACGTGAAAATAAGATATTTGTATTTCATAAATTATAAATAAATGAGCATTATTTAAAAAGGAAAACTTATAACTAGGGTTGGTAGCAGAAAATGCAGATCAGCTTATCCTCCTTCCTGCGGAAATAATTTCAAATCTGTATTATTTAAATACCACATAATTTTAGCAGGAGATGGAAATTCGCTAGTTTCTGGACGTTCCATAAACATTTGGCATTACAACTCAAAAGCTAACAGTACGAAAGTGAACAAGTAAAGAGTTCGAAACCCATGAGCGAACTGTAAGTCAACCCACATCATGGTGATGCTAGGGCGGCGAATGATTTGGGTGGTGGCCAGCGGCGAAAGTGTGGCACCCGTCACGGACATTGTGGTGGCCGAGGCCATGGCAGAAGCCTCTGCGGCAGCCGCCGACGTGGACAGGAGTAGCGAGGCGGCCGATGGATTGGAACGGATGCTGCACGCATCCGTGGGACTGGCGGCCATCGAGCTGAGTGCATCGCCCGTACGGGGACTGTTGCCATGACCATTCGGCGATCCCACTGTCGTCTGCTGCTGCTGCTGATGCTGCTGCATTTGGTGGGTGAGTGGTGCGTCCACAGTGTCCGGACCAATTCCTCCGGGATTGCATTGAAAGGTAATGAGTGCTCCGCTGCTGCTGCTGTTGGTGCCATTCGAGGACGAGGCCGAGTGGTTCGAGTGTATACTGGCCAGGGTTCCGCATGGCGATGAACTGGATCCGACCACATAACAATTGGATCCTCCGGCCACCGCCTGCTGCTGCTGCTGTTGCCTGTTGGTGGTGCTGGCCACAGCACCGCTGGTTTGGCTGCTGCCATTGCCGTCGAAGAGTCGACGGGGAACTCCACTGAAGCTTCTGGATGAACGCGTCGTTAAATGCGAATATTTTTTATTTAGACACAGAACAACACAACAATATAATATAGACACACTGGTATAATAAATAATAACTTTCAAAACAGGTATTTCGAAACAACGTATTTTGTAAAACCACAAAATAAATAAAAAGCCACCAAATATTGGTGTTTGTTTTCTTTTTTTTAACTTTTTCTATACTATTTAGAAGAAGCGAATGATTTCAGTTTATGCGTTTTATATGTAGTATATATCAGAGCGTTTGATATTGGAAATCAATGTAAATGTGTGTAGTGTGTGAGTATATGTTTTCGCGGATGATCGAAATCAGAATTGTATTAACCAAGCAGTTTTAACCAAAATTTGAAAGCCAAACTATAAATTTGGTCAGAACTACTAGTAATGGAAATTGTTGTATAATTATAATAGCAATATGTATATATAAAAGTAAAAAAAAGGAAAATTTAATAAAAAGGAACTTTTCCACAACGTACATTTTTTGGACACCCTGATAATGAAAATTACAGATTGAAAAAAGTTTTTAAGACCCTAAAACGTTTCATCGGTTTATAGAACGATATAATGGAAAACGGGAATCCTTTACTGATATACTAGGCATTTAAATATAATTTTGTAATTGAGTAAGTCTTTTTTTTTAAAAGATGGCGTCAGTGGAATTATTCTACGGCTATTATATTTTTAAGATTAGTTTGATTAGATCGTTAAAATTGCGTAAGGTAAGTTAGCCGTCGTAAAACCTGATTAAGATAATTGCTGTACAGTTTTTATTTTGCTTTAGAACCTTTGTAACCTTACGTGTAATCTCTAAGAAGTACTCAAACCCAAAGTACTCAATAAAAACCATTAATGATTAGTAGAAATTGGAACAAAAACAAAACAAAACAAAGGGCAAAACAAACGAGTAACGAAAAAGAGGTGACAATGTTAAATGAAAACGGATAACGTTTGTGTGGGGTAGTGGACCAATACCAAGGACCAGGACTAATTCTAGGACTATATATGTCGCAACTTAAGCAGCGACATAAGCTAAACATTTAGGAACACACTTTAAACAGTAACGAGAAACTTTCAACGAGTAACGAGTAACCCTTCGCTTTCTAGTTGCTTTGAATATGAAACTAGTAGTTATAGGAATCGTTTCATGGGATTTATCTTTTGTTGGTTGGACGTTTGTTGATAATCAAATCGCGACGCACCTCATTAGCTCGTAGGCAGCATTCGTGGAATGTGGCCGGGCGACGAAGGATTCCTGGTTGCCCAGTGGCGTCGAAGAAGCGTTGACCGGCTGTATATTACGTCTATAGGCCCGCTGGAAAGGCGTCCGTGACATAAACGACATTGACGGCGAGTCGACCACGTCGTAGGTGAGCAATCGATTCACATAGCTGCTGCCCAGCGCCGGCTTCTCAGCCGACTGGATGAGGCGCGGGAAATTCGGCTTTCGCTCGGTCGTCGGCGTGAGGAATGGGTCCGCCTCGATCCGTTCGCTCACAATGTCCGGTATGGTGCCCATCGATCGCATCTTCTGAATGGGATAGTGCAGCGACTGCGGACTCTCCTGACCATCCTGACCGATGAACTTGGCATTGCCCACCTTCATGTGATGCTGGCTCTGGTGGGTCAGATGCTTCACATACAGCTTAGCCGCCGATCCGTTCGAGGCGGTGGAGCTCTTTCGCAGTTGGTGGTGCTGCTGCTGGAATCGCATCCGCTCCTCCAGCGACTGCTCGTGCATGCGCTGGAACTCCTCGCGAA